AGTGATGAGGGTGATACAAGACAACTTGGAAGCTTGTGTCCTTGCTAAAGGAGCTGTGTCTGATCGCTGTCATATTATCATGGTCCATTGAACTTAAGGCAGGCACTAAGTGATCAAATATAATCTCTCAAGAAAAGATATAAATCAGGATATTTGTCCATGAATTATGTCAACTTCTGCATTTTGACAACTAATTAAGTGATATTAACAGTCTAAAAGTTTAATATCATATGTCCACAAGCTGTCATGGTTCATTACATAACTCAGTAGGTCTCTTTTCTAAGACATCATGAAGAGGGATTCGAATCACTTTTTCCTGGACTGACATAGTGGTGCACTGTGTTAAGCTGGTCCCTGCTACATCAGTTCCCGTATCAGAGCACTGCTTGGTGTCCAGGCTGCCCCACTTCTTATCCAGTTCCCTGCTAATGTGCCTGGGAAGGAGCAGAAGGTGACCTAGGTGCTTGGGCCCCTGCTACCTATGTGGGAGACACAGATGGAGTTCTTGGCTTTGACCTGGCCCAGCCCTGACTGTTGTGGCCATTTGGGAAATGAACCAGCAGTTGAAAGATCTTTTTCTCTGTCTCTCCCTCATCCTCTGTAACTCTCTTCTTTCAAATAAATAAAATGGATTTTTTAAAGTGAATTAGATGGCCTTATTCCAATAAAACTTTATTTACAAAAATAGGCAATGGGATAGGTTTGGTCTACCTGTGGTAGTTTGCAGATTTCTTATTTAGAAACTTAAATGATCACCTCATTACCATTTGTAGTTTCATTGACTTTTTTTTTTTTTTGACAGGCAGAGTTGGACAGAGAGAGAGACAGAGAGAAAGGTCTTCCTTTTTCCGTTGGTTCACCCCACAATGGCTGCTGCGGCTGGCACGCTGTGGCCAGCGCACTGAGCTGATCCGAAGCCAGGAGCCAGGTGCTTCTCCTGGTCTCGCATGCGGTTGCAGGGCCCAAGGACCTGGGCCATCCTCCACTGCACTCCCGGGTCAGAGCAGAGAGCTGGGCTGGAAGAGGAGCAACCAGGACAGAATCTGGTGCCCTGACAGGGACTAGAACCCGGGGTGCTGGTGCTGCAGGCGGAGGATTAGCCTATTGAGCCATGGCGCTGGCCAACTTTTAAAAATAGTACTCATAGTCTTCTATTTGTTTTGATTAATACTACTTTTATGTTGCTTGTAATAATTTTTATTGAGATTTTACCTGAGACTTATTAAGTAAATCACTATAACCATTAATTTAGTTATTATTAGTAGGATCTCTTTTAGTAGAAGGCGAAAGATTTACATGATCTGAAGAGAAATCAGGATCTTTTTTAAAAAATCACTTTTTTTCTGATGTGTCCAGAGAGATGGTGGTTTTCGTTCATTTCTACAGGCCACAGTATGCATCACTCACTTAGCTCTCTCCATCATTTATAAAACACACCTTCCATTTTAACTGAAACAACAATGTCTTGTGGAACTGCTCTGATTCTTGCTGTGTTTTTAGCCTGGAACTCTCAGAAATGAGTGAGGAGAGAGTGACATGCCTAGAGTTGCAATCGCCTCATGCAAAGAAAAAGAAAAGCAAAAGGCATCCAGCTCCCAAAAAGAGAGGTAAGGTTTTCTTCTCTTTGTTTTCCTGATTTCTGAAAACATGATGTCAAGTAGTAACAAAATAAGAAATTAAAAAATTAAAATAAGTACCTGGCTCCTGCCATCCGATCAGCGCGGTACGCCGGCCGCAGCGCGCTGGCCGCAGCTGCCATTAGAGGGTGAACCAACGGCAAAGGAAGACCTTTCTCTCTGTCTCTCTCTCTCTCACTGTCACTCTGCATGTCAAAAAAAAAAAAAAAAAAAAAGAAAAGAAAAAAAAGTAAAATCATGAAATCATGAATAGTTTATGCTAAATATCTGGTTCCTTATTTCATTTTATATATTGGGAGATCTACTTAAGTGTGATACCACTGGAATTTATGAATAGGGTAAATAGTCAGTTTAGTTTAAACTCCAGCATAAATACTTCTCTGTTCTTATCTGTTTGCCATGCTCATTATATATCCTTCTTTTTGATTTTGTACAGCAATCCCTTGTACAGTAATCCTGGGAATAGTATGTCTTTTGCCCCTGCTGGTAATCACAGTCTTAAGATACATGAGTGAGTATGATGTGCCTATTTTCTACAAAATAATCAACTTTAAATGAGCTCAGTTGAAAGGGGAAGTTTTTTTTTTTTTTAAAGATTCTATTTATTTATTTTAAAGTTAGAGTTACAGACAGTGAGAAGGAGAGACAGAGAGAAAGGTCTTCCGTCCACTGGTTCACTTCCCAAATGGCCGCAACAGCTGGAGCTGCACCGATCTGAAGCCAGGAGCCAGGAGCTTCCTCTGGTCTCCCACACAGGTGCAGGGGCCCAAGGACTTGGGCCATGTTCTACTGCTTTCCCAGGCCATAGCAGAGAGCTGGATGGGAAGAGGGACAGCCAGGACTAGAACCAGCACCTACATGGGATGCTGGTGCCACAGACAGAGGATTAACCTACTGTGCCATAGCGCCAGCCCCGAAGATTTTTTCAATTGATCAAGTTTTTAAAATGAAATATCGCTAGTGCTGTGGTAACAGAATGAAAAGATCAGATGAACATAACGTGGGTAGGTCAAGCACCTCTGTGTTGGAGAGAATTGCTGTGAAGTAAGAGGCAGGTAGAAATTGAGAGATGAAGGGTAAATACAGTCATGCAGGTGGAGTGAACATTACGGGGTGAACCAACGGTAAAGGAAGACCTTTCTCTCTGTCTCTCTCTCTCACTGTCCACTCTGCCTGTCAAAAAAAAAAAAAAAAAAAAGAAAAAGAAATAATATGGTCGAGGAAGCAGAAGCCAGATCATGAAAAAGCCTCTTAAAACGAGGGGGTGATATATGAACTCCTTTAAGGATAAATCGATATTTAAAATGGATTGAATGTGAGTGCATGTGGAAAACAACCCTTTTGATTAGAAAATTAGAAAGGAAGGCAAGCAATATAGCATGATGAAGGGTCAGCTAAAGATAGTCCATGCTTTCAAGTAGAATAGAAAATTCAAATCATAGAGCGGCCAAACATGCTCATTAAATTTGCCAAGAGAGAGGATTCAACATTATTTCCTGGAGTAGATTCAGTGTAGCAGTGCACATGGTCAAAGCCAATTTGCGATGGATAAACTTATTTCCAGGTTTTTTCTGTTTTATGAAATGTTCACTACTGCTTCATGTGCCTTAAACAGAACATATTGTAAGTTTCAAATTCTTGTAATTACCTATATTTGAATCATATATTTTTTATGGATCTATTACCACATACCAGCATCATTTACTTTGTTATCTAGAGTTAGAGGCTGCGTTCATAATAAAATGATCTATTGGAACCATTCATGATACTAAATTTGTATTGTGGATTGAAGTTTTTCAGAGGTGTTGTGATTGCACGATGCAGGATACGGGAAACACAAATGGAAACAACATGACCTCAGTGGAAGCTGAAGAGCCTTCGGTTTCACCACCTGGTACAGGTGTGTACTCAGTGTTTAAGGTAATAGCTGACAGAGTTCTTTTGTGTGGACTTACCCTGTCTCGCACTATTTCAATATATAATTTACAAAGTTTATATTGAACTTTAGCATGATTTTTTTAAGATTCATTCATTTTTTTGAAGGGTAGAGGTATATATATAGAGACACACACACACAGAGGGATAGTCCATCCACGTGTTCACTCCTGAATGGCTGTAGCGGTCAGGTCTTGGCCACAATGAAGCCAGGAGCCCGGGGCTTTATACAGTTCTCCCACATGGGTTCAAGGGGCCCAAACACTTGGGTCATCTTCGGCTTTATCAGGCGCATTGGCAGGGCACTGGATCAGAAACTGAGCAACTGGGACCTGAACTGGCTCCCATAGGGGATCTCAGCGTCACAGGTGTCAATATTATCGATTATGCCACCACACCCCCTGGCATGGGCATTAATTTTGCTCTCCTCAACTCATTAAATCCAATTTTCACATTATATCTAACACATGATTTTCACATATTGAACTGAGTATTTGAATAGTCTGAGCTTGCGGATATATTTTCACCAGTATGGAAGCCCTGAGGTTAACACCATTGCTGTTCAATCACTTTGATGGATTCAGGAATCAGGGAGAACTACTTCCTAGCCCTGCAGCTTGTTCATACTTGAGAATTGCAGGTTGCTCAGTGCAGGCTTCACAAAGTCCCCGTGTCTGTCAGAGACAGTTTTTGGCTCAGAGTATTTTCCCCAATAGAATTTCACACAACGGGATTTGGTATAGAAAATCCATTTATTCTAGGGTCACTCCATCTGAAGAAACCAGATGAAAACCTAAAAGTGCATGTCTCTAACTGGTCTTGGGTTGGGGGTGGCGGTGGCTTTTGTTTTCAAGAAAGACATTGTGGATCCTGTCAAAGACAATGGGTTTGCTGTGGAACAAATTGCTACTATTTTTCTAAAGAAGAGGCAACTTGGAATGAGAGTGCAAAGTCATGCCAGGACAAGAAATCTCATCTTGTTACCATCAATGACAAAGAGGAACAGGTACGTTCATTTAATCAAGTGTGAGAAGCCTGCATGGCCTGAGTAAGGGTGGCTGTTTAGACTTTGCTCCAGTCTTATTGGGCCCGCTTGGTGGGAGCGCTTGTATCTGCAGGGGAGAAGACACAGGCTTTAAAAAGACGTAAAAACATTATCTAAAGCAGCAGGTAGGGCCTTGCTGTGCATGCCATAGAATGCTCTTTAGTTGTTATGGGCTACGTCTTTATGATTTATGGATAATCCAGCAAAAATACACAAATGAGTGAATTAGTGGGCATTTTACTTTAGTGACTCTTCAGAGTCCTAGAAATAATAAAAGATGATTTATCACCCCTCTCGTATATATCTATACTTTTAATAGATGTCAGAAGATAAACCATCATAATCTTCCTTCTACAGAAGTTAACTAAAGTGGAAAAATGTTGGAAAGAGTGTCTGTCAGAGAGAGAGAGAGACAGACAGACAGACAGACAGTCCAAATGGCTTTGATCATTATGGGCCTTTCATGATATTTTTTGAGTCACAAAGCTGCGAAAGTTTGTTTATTGGCTCTTTTACTTTTGCTGCTTTTCTGCACGGTAAATAATCTAGTGCCTGCTCTATTTATCATAGGTTTGTTTGACATTAGATATGACCAGTGTTTGGTACCAATGTTGTAGATAAAAATCATTGATATTTTGAGTAATGCTATTAATCCTAATTTGTACACAGACTTTCATTCAAACACAAACGAAATACAATTATTGGATTGGATTATACAGAAAAGGAGCTAAATATGATTGGACGTGGCAGGACGGCACAGTACCTGCTAAGGACCTGTAAGTTTTCATTTAATATTCTAACCATTCAGTTTTTTTTATAGGCAATTGATGTATAGATTAAAAGCTAACAGCAGGAAAAGATCCTTGAAAACTTCCAAAATATCCTTCATTCTATTTGATTTCACATTTCAGATGACAAATGCAAGCCTTGGGGACTTAAGTAATCATCTCTAAAGACATCACTTTTTTCCATAGTGTTTTTTGTAGGTTCCTTCCAAACAGTAAAATCATGTGTTTCTTTTATATGATATCTGTTGTGTTGGCAGGTGTGGTTGGAAGAGAGGGAGGAAAAGTTGTTTCTAAACCGAGCTCTTCCTCTTCACAAATGATTAACTGGTGTCTTCTAAAACTGAAGAGGCTTCTTTTCCAAACACATAAATTAATAATCTTAAATCTAACATGGAGATTAAGATTTTTCATGGCATTAAATTTGCACAAGCCCATGTAGTCGCTGGTACCCTCTTGGTAGTAAAATAGCATTGATCCATCAAAAATGATGAAATAAACTTACTACAGTGGCAGCAGATTGACTGATGGGTCCAAATGAGGCAGGGAAATTACACAGTGCACTGGAGGAGGAGCAATGCTGTGGAGCGTTGTGCAGTCCCTGTCGTGTGAGGAGCACTGTTTATTGAGGGAGGGTGGAGGCAGAGGAAGAGATTCCCTATTTTACGTGGGGTAGTCAGAGATGACCTCAATGGGACAGTGTCATTTGTAGAAGGACTATGCAGGTGAATGGGTGAGATGAGGGGGTTCTCTGTTGGTGCTGCACCCTGGAAGGAAGGCCAACAGGTGTGACAGGTGGCAGTGCATTTAGTTTTCTTACAGAACCAACAAGAGGGTCTGTGATGCTGAGTAAAATGGGAAGAATAAGATCACATAGGAATCAATGAGCATCGCAAGAATTTTATTTCTTTGTGACTGCAGTGATAAACCTGTAGGTGGTTTTTTGACGGGGTATGACAAGAGCAAGCTTCCTATGTCAGAGTCACTCATTAGAAGCAGTTGTAATTACACTTTATGAATTAATAGCAATACATCTCTCACAGGAGTTTTCTTTTCACTGAATAATCACACACATGTCTTAACATTGTGATAATGAAATTTTGCTTATAGAATTTTAAAGCAAAAATATTCTCTGAACAGGGC